TCCCCTCCCTCCCCGCTCCCCCCTCCCTCATGAGCCTTGATAGTTTATAAATTATTATTTTGTCATATCTTGCCCTGTCCGACGTCTCCCTTCACCCACTTTTCAGTTGTCCGTCCCCCAGGGAGGAGGTCACGTATAGTTCCAGAATTCTCCTTGTTATGTGCACGGGGCTTTGTAGGTACAATCAATTCCTTCCTGAAAGGAGGTTACTCTCCTGACCCAATTAAAATCATTGTGCCCCCTTATCCGCTAAAATGTTAGAAGGGAATTGACATGAATGAACTGTTCTAAAAAAAAGAGTGGCGTGAAAATCAGATATTGAGTTTGGTTGGAAATGAGTAGCTGAGAGACGAAGGTGCCAGGATTTTTATTTAAATGTGGAACAAGATTCTGTCAGTAAAGCACATCATTAGAATATTGAGTTTAGAACTGCTAATTTTTCCTTTTAAATGAGCATACCGTCATGTGTTTCATAGACCATAATACATTGCGATGGTGTTGTCATTGAGTTTGTGCCCCCCCCCCCCAGTACTGGTTTGGCAGTCAGTCTGCCTTTTCTCTCCTTTGTGCCCCCGTCTCCCCACCAATAGTGTACCACCTTTCTTTAGTAGATTCCCTGACCCAAAGCAGGCAAAAGAATGTTCTTTCATGCAGGCTCAGGTTTAGCATCTTTGCACCGTTTTCCTGCTTATGATAGCAAGGCATTTGCTGATGGCTCTTGGTTACTGTAAAGTACATAACGGTGTTTCCTTTGTGGCAGATGGATTTAAGACTTTTAGTTCGAATAAATGTAGGTTTACAATACATAACTTTACAGGATTTGTGTTGTATGTAACAGGTTTGAACATATTATCTCAGAATTCATCTGCATGGCATTTTCAGCTTATGCAGGGTCCGTGCCAGTTTTTCCCCTTTTCTTTAAGTAATAGGGGAGCACTGTGATGGATCGCAACAGTGCAAGGCGCCATTTGAATGGAAACAAAAGGTTTGGAACAGAAGGTGTCAAATTAAACTTTGTCAGTTTGAAAAGTAGTAACATCCTGAAAGTTTGACTAATTTATTTACATGTGGCTACTGTTTATATTTTGCCCTCTTTATATGCAGCGTCATGTTGCTTGGCAAATTTACTCCGTTTAGAGTGTTGGTGGCTGATTGTGCCATTTTAGTTTCCTGAGAATGGATCCGCCTCTTGAGCTCAGGACAGTCGACTGTCTCTTCTACTGTCCAGAAAAGTTGCAATCTAATTTAGAGAGTTGACCTCCCCCTCTCCCTGCATATGGTTTTATAATATTTCTAGTTCCAGAGATCGCGCCTAAAAATGTCATTCTGTTCACATTTTGTGACAACTTGCTGCATTTTGTCGCTCACTTCAGTGCTCCTCTTGATCCTTTCAAAACCACCGCAGCCCTTGGGAGAACAATATTTTCGTCAAATAGTTGCCAGTTTTCCGACATGTTCAGTGCTTTCCCAGGTTTATTTGCTCTCCCAATAACACATACGAAACCTGACCGAGTAAAGGTAGCGGGGACTTACAAGCAGTTGACTCCCCTAGTTGCTTCCTGCAAAACAGAGATCAGCTCACGGCCATTACCCGTATACTCAGTTGATCGAATTTTAAATAGCCAAGATAGTGCAAGATATTTAAATAGCCCCTGAATAAATTAATCTTATTTTTGCCCTTGTAAACTGGGAACAGGCCAATTTACTTCTCTGCCGACCAAGAACTGCTGTGTCAAAATGTCTGTTTCCCATTATTTTTCCCTGAGACCCGCACATCCAGAAAAGCGCACACTCCTTCCCCATTCTGTTTTTTGGAATACCCTGCTGGAGCTAACCGTTCCCAGCTGCGCACCATTAAAGATTTTTCTAAGAAGCATCTGATTTCAGTCTCTTAAAAATCATCGTGTGTCTTGAAAGGCTAGCGGAGACATGCTTCAACTTATAATTCATCAAATTATTTTTAGATAAGGAATTAGAAGTATTATTTAAGGGCAGAGGTTAATAGCAAACTACTGGAAATGTTATGTTAGTCATGGGCAATTAATAAAAATAAGGATCTGTCTCGTAAGAACAGAGACACAGAAGGGACAATATGAGCAAAATATTTGTTGAATGAGTCAGGGCTCTTTTTCTGAAATATTTGTTAAACCAGCATGAGTGTGATTGTTTAGGAATTAGCGATCATTATTAGCCATTTTAAAAGAACTAATGATTTTCGTTTCCAAGGAACATCTGTGATCCACATGGTTTTTCCCCCCACATATATCCAAGTGCTAACTGATCTGTGTTACTTTTTAAGTTTCTAAAGGATTTGAAAAATCATTGCAAATTTTAAGCTTGCTCTAAGAAACATTTCTTACACAAATCATTCCTAATTTAACTTTTAGCAATTTTTAGATCCAAGCATTTATTTCTAAAATAAATTCTTAGATACTCAATGTTTTAGCCCTACTTGTTCTAGTAGAATACTCACAAAGTGTTTAAAAAAAAAAAACACCCTACCAAAAAAACCCTTTTCTGCTCTTTATGGACCTTCTGAAATCCTCTTGAGAGTAAATCAAATGGGTAGTCATTTGCTGGGTCCGGGTACAGGGGGCCTGTCAACTGCCACAGCAGAAGACCAACACCCAGACGGAGGGGCGAGTAATTTCAACCATGGTTAGTACTCAAGCCTATGGGGAGATTTCTATCTGAAACGTGCACAGCCACAAGACAGAGTTAAAGTATAAAGAACTAGCTTAGATGTAGGAAGATATAAGACACCGTTAAGTACTAAATAAACATCTCTAAGACATTGTCTACAAGTGAACCACAAATACTGCCTGGATGTTCAGTTATAAAGTTCATATGAATGGGGCTGAAATATACACCCTCACTATAGTCTGAAAAGAAGTGTATTGAGTGACCATGTAATCACAACTAACTTATTGCTATTATTTTATAATCATTTAGTAAAATGTTATTATTTAATAATGACTAACATCACTTAATAAAATTGCCTCTTTAAGCTTGAGTTACACACTTAGTGGCATCAAATGGGTCTGTGATTGGCCCAAATATATCTATTTGTTTTAAATAAAGGACTCTGGGAGAAAAGGGAAACCTGGTATGTTAGGTGTTGGGTCACTAACCGCAAGGTCTGTAGTTCAAATCCACTGGCAGCTCTTTGGGAGAAAGATGAGGCTATTCTTATAAAGATATACAGCCTCAAAGGGAGCAGTTGACTGTGTCTTCTGAGGTCACTAAGGTAACCCTGGTGGCACTGTTGGGGTAAGGCAATGGATTGCTAACTGCAAGGTTGGCAGTTCAAACCCATCAGCTGTACCTCCGGAGAAAGATGACTCTCTGCTCCTGTAAAGATTGATAGGCTCAAAACCCTCTGAGTCATCATCAACTCAATGGCAGCAGGTGGGTTTATAGGGTGGCCATGAGTAAGAATTGAACTGAGGAGCGTGCCTTTGGTTTGGGAGTTGAGTTAGAGAATCGAAACTCCCTTTAAGGGAAGCAGGAGTGGAGGATCTTGTCCGGCTTAGCAACTCTCCCCCTTGGCTGGTCAAGAAAGGACAAGGTTCCAGTGGGTCAGATTGTAAAGAAGGGTCCGGAAGTCATGGCATTTTCTGGTGTCACCCAGAGCTACATAAAAGCCTTCCCTTGGGGACTCCCCCAATTCAAATAGAATAAAACAGTGCCCTGTTTCCTTCCAACTAGTGTCCTTGACGTTTCCAAGAGAGCTCATTGTCCAAGGTCAGATTTAACAAAAAAAGAGAGTTTAAAATGGGGAATCAGGTGCTTGTGATTTTTTTGTTGTTGTTGAGGCAGGACTCCTGGGCAAGGGAGGGTCGGGCCAGGGAGGGGCTCTGGTGAGAACGCTGCCTTTCCTTGTCTCTGGCAGGCTGAGGAGGGGAAGGGAAAGAAGGTAGAGAGTAAATTAGAGTGTTCCTTGGAGACAAGTGGATCGAGCCTTTGACAACTGTTTGGTCACTGCCGCCTCCGCCCTGGGGTCGGGGTGTCAGTAAAGCAGTGGAGGAACCTCTCAAGCCTCTCCAGGTTAAGAAGTTCTCAAGGCATCTTCCCATGGAGTTGTGAATTCGCAGCTGTCTTGGGGCTGAGGGATGGAAGTTGGTGACAGGGAATCCAGGTGGGACACCTTCCCTCTTCCTTCCCCCTTTTGCTTAGTGTCCTATATGACTGTTGAGATGGGGAGGATTTGAGATGGAAAATGTACTCTGCTGGATCGCTCAGTCCTTGGTAGACCATCCCAGGACCAAACACTGGGCCTCCAGAGGAGCCAGATTGGTTGAGGCTTTAGCATGTATGGGGCATGTTCTTTTCTTTCCTTTCCGAAAATGCTTGCCTGGCAGGTCGTATGTGCACACAGCAGTGAGCAGAAAAATGAAGACTCTGAAGTGTTTTTAATTTTTGGGGTGTTTTTGTTTTAAGAAAGTTCTTCCTTGGAGAAGTCTTCTAATCTCCAATGTGCATCTTACCTTGCCTAGCATTTTTGTTCGTCCCGTTGACCTTGTTCTTTCTCTTTTTCAGGAGCATACATTCATGTTTGTTTTCCTTTCTCATATAAAAAAATTAAGCTCTGATTCCTTCTAAAGAAAAAAAAGTATCAAAATCTGCCTTTAAAAATACCCTGCTGCTTCCTCACATGGCCTCTTAGCAGAAAAGATCAGAAGTCTATTCAAGTTTGCTCTCCCCGGATCTGGCATAATTCAAGTTCATGGTGTATGCTCTCGTCCATGTGAATTCTGAAAAATACTGTCCCTCCTTTAAGGGAGAAATCTGAAGTTTGATTAGGAATAGAATCTGCCTCCCTGGCAGCCCCACCTGTCCTGTTTTAACAGGTAAAAACAAAGCCGTTTGAAGCGTTCGTTCGAAGCTTCTGCAAAAGTAACTGCAAGGGCTCTCTCCCTTCTGAGCGCCCAGTGGAGCAATGTCACTTCCCATCCCCCGTAGGCAGGCGGGAGCTCACCTGTCCTGCCTTTGTCTCTTAGGGCTGGTTGTGTGAGCTGTTACGCTGGAAGGAAGATCCTTCTCCAGAAAACAGGACTCTGTGGGAGAACCTCTCCATGATTCGAAGGTTCCTCAGCCTTCCTCAGCCAGAGCGTGATGCCATTTATGAACAGGAGAGCAACGCGGTGCATCACCATGGCGACCGGCCGCCCCACATCATCCACGTTCCAGCAGAGCAGATTCAGGTTCGTTTACCTTGGCCAACTCAGTATAGCACCATGTAAAGGCAGCTTTCAACGTTAGCAGGGAAATGAGCGTTTCTCATTGTCGTGCCAGTCTAAACAGAAGCTTTTTAGCAAGAGACAGCCATCCCCTGCCATTTTGCTCAGGGGCTGGAGGGGAGGAACCCACCCTCTCTGTTCAGTGCGCGTATTGAGAGACGAGTTCCTCCGCCCTCACCTGCCCCCCACAGCATGGCAGGACCCCTTTCTAACATTCCTTGTGTGCCTTTGTTCCCATGGCCTGGGTTGGTCTGAGAGCTGCATTTTTTTGTAAATTCAGAATTTAAAACACCATCTACTTTTCGACGAATGCTATCCTCCCTCCAAATAAAAGAATGACTGTTTCTGTAGAGGGAATTTGTAGAATCACATCCTTTTTTATTTTTCCCCCTGCATCTTAAATTCTATCCACAAAGAGGAGGGGAGGGAAACCTACTTGCAATCTTAACTTCCTAGTGCTCAGCCTTTCACCTCCCCCTTCCCTCCCCCAGTACCCTCGCTGAACACAAGTTAGGGGTGAGTCATGTCTGTTTGTCTTTCCTTTAGAGCCCCTCTCCCACCACCCTTGGGAAAGGAGAGTCTAGAGCCGCTTTCTTACCAGGCCTGCCGACCCCCGCACCATGGCTCGGTGCTGCTCCCCAGGTGAGCGGGCACAAGTTACCTATGCTAGAAAAACAGGGAGATGGGGTGGCTTAAAGTCCTGCTCTGCTCCCTTGCTGAGAATCTACGCATTTGAGAGCACTAACCATATAGTCAGATACCCCTGGGCCAGCAATTCCCACCTTATGCATGGCTTGTTGTGGTACATGCCTCTCCACTCATCTACCCAGGGAAAGGAATTTTAACTAGAAAATTTTGGGATAAAGTTATTTGTTGGTAGCCTTGTGGCCCTGCCTGCTTAGGAAGGGTGTTTTAATTAAACATGGGCAATATGACGGGACTTCAAAAGGTTTGTGAGGAAATGCTCTAATCTTTTAACTCCATTCCCCCCCACCCCTTGAACTTCCTGAAGCCCACCCGCTAGAACTTGTTTCTGCTAAATCTATGGCAATGTGTTTTCTTCCTTAAGGGAAAATGCTATTGCCTTTCACAATCCTAAAATGTTAATGTTTTTTTTCCCCCTCTTTGCACCACCTACATTGTTTCTTGATACTGCTATGGGAAAAAAATAATATAGCTATAGATATATATAGTTAAAAACAATAATAGAGTTACCATGCAGCAGGGGAAAAAAATCCTTGAGTGTGTATTAAAGATAAAGCAAATTGAAAAAGAGAATCCCTGAGGATATCAAGCACTAAAATATCCATGAAAGCCTGAAAAACTTATTGTTTAGCACAAACAAAAAAGAGAAAGATATATGTTAAGTAATAAAAGTAGTACTTGTTTGAAAATGTAAATTGTTTTTAATAAAATCACTTCTTAGGGGGATAAAGAGACGTGTTCAGACACAATGTAAGCGTTCTCTTTTGCCACACTCTCAGGTTACTTTGCTTATAAGAATTTGGGATCTAGCGTGTGCAGTACATGTGTGTGTCACATTTGTTATGTCTAATTGTGTATGGAAATTACAGTGCATATACAGATACTAATTATGAAAAAAGATGTCTGTATACACTACTAAATTTAAATCCTAGTCATATCTGAGTTTCCTATAGACAAAACAATTTGCTAGCCTTTGTGCGCTGGGTCGAACCTTTCTTTTTTGGGTAAAGAAACTTGGAGCACCGGCCTCGTGTATTTTGGTAAGAAATTGTGTGTGTGTTAAAGTGGACCTGCCTGCTGGGAAACGCACCAACGGGGGACTCTCAACAATCCGTTGGACCCAGAAAATGCTGAATCCGAGCAGACTCGTAGCCATTCTGTTCCGAATGGGCACGTGATTCCCTTCCTGTTCTCGCTCCATGTTGCAGCCTTCAGAGGCAGTGGGGCAAAATGCACATCCATCTCAGTATCTCCAGGCCCTGCTTCCACCTCTCTAAACTGCCTTTGAAATCCTGACTTCTGGATCTTCCCTCGAATCCTCAGTTACTTAGTAACATCGCGGTCTGCCCTGCTGTCTTCCCTTTGATGCGCCCTCGCTGGTCCTCTGGCAGTGTGTGGCTCGGGTTTGCAGAATCCGGGCCGAAGAGGCTCTCCCGAGCTCTTGACCCACGGGCGCAGCGGCTGTGTTAGTGCATTGGCTTTCTTGTTCCTATCACTTCCCTCTCCTTTTCCCGGATGCTGTGGCCTACTCAGGGTGCATGTGTGTCCCTCTCCAAGTAGCTGGGTCTGGGACCCCCAGTGCCGTGCGCCCTCATCGTAGACAGCTCAGTGTCAAAGGATGAGGCAGCAGAATGCTGATGGTCTCCTGGTTTCTTTGCAGCAGCAGCAGCAGCCGCAGCCCCAGCCCCAGCAGCAGCAGCCGCCGCAAGCGCCCCCGCCGCCGCTGCCGCAGCCCCGGGAGCAGGCCGGCCCTCGGCTGCCCCCGCGGCAGCCCCCCGTGGCCTCGCCCGCCGAGGCGGAGGAGGAGAGCCGTCCGAAGGCCCGGCCGCGCACCAAAATCTCCGTGGAAGCCCTGGGCATCCTGCAGAGCTTCATCCAAGACGTGGGCCTGTATCCTGATGAAGAGGCCATCCAGACTCTGTCGGCGCAGCTCGACCTCCCCAAGTACACCCTCATCAAGTTCTTTCAGAACCAGCGCTATTATCTCAAGCACCACGGCAAGCTGAAGGACAACTCCGGGCTGGAGGTGGACGTGGCCGAGTACAAAGAAGAGGAGCTGCTTAAGGATTTGGAAGAGAGCATCCAAGATAAAAATGCCAACACCCTGTTTTCCGTGAAACTAGAAGAAGAGCTCTCGGTGGACGGCAACACAGACATTAGCGCGGACTTGAAAGACTGAAATAAAAGTATTATTTTCCTTCGACAGTGCCACTGGTAATTTACTAACAACGCGACAAGTCCGCCCCGTATTCTCTCTGAAAACCTTGGTGGTTCATTGTTTGGCCAATGACTCTTGAGAAACTTGCACAAACAGGAAAGTTGGGAAAGGCTAATACAGACTGCAGCACACAGTGTCTCGCTGTTTGACAAACTGCTGGGCAGCCCAGGTGAGGCATCAAGGATTGTTTGGTGTTAACATTTGTACTCACGGGAGGCACCACGGTGTGTGCCTCGTAAGCATGACCCCAGTGATTTTATGGTTTTTATCATAGTTTATTTTATTTTTTAATTCTGGAGCCTTCAAACAAGCATTATAACTTCTGTGATGATTATTTTCCTTTCCTTTAATTATTTCTGTCACACTCCACACTGATCTTTGGAAACTCGCCCCCTATTTAAAAAAAAAAAGAAAAAGAAAAAAAAAAGAGTTTGTTACTCTATTGTATGTTACAAAAGAACTACAGACTGTGGAATGCAGTTTAAAAATGACATATGCCAACAAATGCCTTGTGTTATATGGCTCTGCCGTAATTCAAATTTGTTTTTACTTTTGGAAATAACAGGTCACTGTAATTTTTTTTTCATTCTCATTGTTAAACAATTAAAAAAAAGAGGAGACGAAAAGAAAATGTGAAACACGATTTAGTCCTCATTATTTATTTGTAGATCCTGCAGCATCAGGTTGTAATTAATTTTTTGGAAGTTTCCGTTAAGTGTACTGTTGCTTCTCTTGTTACCCATACTGATTTGTTTTGTTTTGTTTTTTCTATTTATAAATGTATTTTGATGGGCAGTAAAACAAAGTGTCTTAAAAAGTTTTAAATAGAGAAAATGTGCTTTACACAGTTGCCTATAAAAAGTGCTCTATGTTATCCAAGCAATTCATACTATAAGCTTCACTCTTACTGTTGGATGCAATTTTTACTATCATGCAAATAAGCTTAGGTAAATAAAACTAATAGATCACCTTAGAAAATTATGCAATTAATGTGAAAATAATTGATGTTTGCAATGTGTCTTCCTTTGGTTTACAATCAACTTTAAAGCTACATCTGTATAAAATTTCTGTATAAAGGTGTATTTCTTTTTTTATGAGTTTATGGCTATGAAAACACCAGCTATTTTGTTACAGCTGGCTGTTTTTATAAGTGTATCACAATTTTCTTTATGCAGAAATGTCCTGATTAGGAGTGGTTATTGACTGTAACTACACAATTAAACTTGTTTGTATGGTATGACATGGTAGGGTTTGTCTGCTTGTGTGAAATAATTTAGAGTCAAAAGATGGCCTTCCCATTTAAGTGCATGTTAGTATTTCCTTGATGCGATGTCACTAATTTTTCAAAGGGAACTTGGACGGCCACCCTGGAACCCTGTAAATGTAAGTCACAAGCACATGCTCGCTTTGTAAGGTCAGCACTGGAGGTGATCATCTGTTTCTGGTGAACATTTGGCTTAATAAACAGCAGGATGGTCAAAAGACTCTCCAACATAAAAATCACAATTCCTGTCTCTGGCAGTGATGCACTCAAAATAGATCCATGTGTTTTTATTTTAATACTTCAGTTGCCCCAACACTTTTCCTTCAGCGAATGTATAAATAGTCGTTAAGGCCATTCCGAGGAACATGAAATCAGTAGGGGTGGGGCAGGGATGAATCTTCTGTATAAAAACCCTTTAGCAAGCAATGGCTTTGATTTTGCAAGTTGTAAATGAACTTTAGTCACGCTAAGCTCGTTTGGCTGTGTATATCATAACTAGAGGAACTACACAAAGACCAAGAATAACAGACCTGGAATCTAAACGCAGTTATTCTTCGGAAGGCAGGAGCTCACACAGCATAGAATGTAGTGCAAACCAAGATACAAAGAGGTGTGCTGACTGGGGAAGCATGGAACCGGTGCGGTGGAGTTGTTTGGTTTGGGTTTTAATACTCACTTTGAACTTTGCTGCTGCTTTTTAAGGTTTTCCTGGATGTAGTTAGGAGGGGTATCTGGGTTCCTTGAGATGAGGATCTACAATCGCCAGTTTTCTTTCCACCTACCATTTCCCCAGGCCCCAGTGATCTCATTGGTAGGCAACTGGGCAGCTTTAATCTTGAACTTAAGAAACTAAATTGGAAGCATCGAAAATCTCAATGCAGCCTTAAAGTACCATTTACTTTTGAAGTCTAGCTGAGCTGTTCTGTAGGCAGCTGGTTTGCTGCGCTTAAAATTGTATTGAGGAAAAAGAAAAAAAAAATTATATTGAAAAAGTTTTCCTTTTTGTAATGAGAAAATAGCTTTCAAATATTCTTGCTCACCAGAGGAATTTGAATTCAGAAAATGGGAACTAGATTCCACATGTTGGAAAAATTAATGGAAAATAGGTAGACCCTAGTATTGCCATCGAGTTAATATTTTCCTACTTCTTTTGCCCACATTGAAGGAAAAAGCCTTGAGATTATAGTAGAGTTGATTTTTCTTTTTTGTACTTGCCCAAAATTTAATATGTCAAGTAGATAGGAAACTTAATTTTAAAAATCTGGAAGGGAAATTGGTTGCACTTAGAATCTTCTTTGAAATCAACATTTTTTATGTTGATGAATGTGCTAGAAGTTACCAAAGGGAATGCAATTCTTAGGCCCTTCCATTTTTTTCAGTATGACTTGACCAATTGTTATAAAAAAAAGAATCCACATATTAATAAATGATGGTCATCCTACCAGAGCAAGACTTGCATTCAAGGAAGATGGAAAAGATTTGTCCTGTAATCTTCCACGTTGCTCCCCAATGTCATTTATCATTTTGACAATCCTCTTGTTGCCAGTGGCTTTAAAGAAACTCCACGAGGTTCACTGTGTCTAAGTCTTTCAGATGACTCTTAAAAGCTGGGGATACGGAGCACTTTGTGGTGTCAAGGCCTTCGGCAGAGTCAGGTAATATTCAACCTGGTGCATCTGAATCTGCCAAGGGTTCCTTCACTCGGCGCTTTGCTTGTATTACACTGCGGCCACATAATACTTGCACATTATGCAATAAAGGTTGAGAGTATCTCCTTGGCACACATGCAGAGTTGACACATAACCTTTGAAAACCAAGATAACTAATTTGTGTGCCCTAGTTGTGCGTCACCGCGTGATAAAGTCTGCGTATTATGTATTAAATGTGTATGGGTTAACATTGAGTTCTAAAGAATTAATAGGCGTGAAACAGTGGGGGCTCCCCCCGCCCCCGACTAGTGATCTTGATATCTAATTGTGCTTATTTAAAATACATAGATTGAATAGACAACATTTTCCATTGGTCCGAGATTGAGGACAAAGTGCAAATCATTTCCAGCCCAGGACTTCTGTTAACATCTGGCTGAGATTAAGATCCTTGCTTGTTACACAGCAATATTCTCAATAAGTGAAATGTTCTGAACTACCTGGTGATCCTTTTGAGAAGGACACTTAAAATGTGTATGCATTTTGTCATCTCGCTGGACAAACCAGAACTACTAAAGCAAGCCAGATATTTGCATGAGAGACTAGAAACCAGCAGAGGCCCCAAAATATTCATCTAAAATAGGAGCATATTGATACCATAATAGTGTACCTTGCAAATAAATATTTTTGAAAGAGGAATATGGTGGGCCTCAGGATTTCTTCCAGGGCAGTCCTTATAGTGTACATACGAGATGCTTGCGTGTCTTTGACAGGATCAACTAAAGTCTGTTAACATGCACGTTTTGCATAAAATATAAAGTACCCTCCATAAGGAAACGTGGTGGGAAGGCTTTGTCCAGCATACATGTTCAACAATACCAAGTGTTCAATAAAAATAGTTTGGAATTAACATTTAAAAGATGAGCAGCCTTTTTAAGCCTTTCGTACCTCACCATGCTTCATGTGGGTCATATCGGTACATCTTCAAATGTAACTTGACTGAAAGACACCGACACTCAGCACCAAGCTTGTGCAGGAAGTCGCCCTCTTCTGTCAATTATTTCAGCTGCTCCTTTGTGCTCTAAAGCACACGTCTTGGCGCCGCGCTCGTTTAAGAGAGTGGTGGAGGAAGGACCACCACGGAGCATTCCGTGACAGGTGTTGGTACTTGCAGAAAAGCACTCAAGCCACTTATTTTCCACCGAGTTAAATGTTGACCATTTATTTCTGTCCCCTTGGTAGAGTAGGAAGATCTTTGCAAAACAACGACAATGATCTCTTCCTTCATACCCTTGATAAAGCAGAAACCCATTGCTATCCTGTTGACTGACTCATAGCAAACCGAGGTGGACAGAGGAGAGCTGCCTCGTAGGGGTGCCATGACTGGAAATCTTTACGGAAACAGATTGATTGCCAGATCTTTCTCTCATGGAGTCGCTTTGGTCAGTAAATGAGCACTTCAACTATTGCGCTAAACAGGGCTCCTTCAGACCTTTGACTCGCCCTTGCATCCGCTGTCCTCACAAAGAAATGTCTCCTCTGCCGCCCGGATTTTCCACCCACAAAAAAACAAAAGGTGCTTGTTCAATGAGAATGTGACATTTCGGACCCAAGTTCAATGCCATCCAATGGATTCCAATTCCTAGCGAGTCTTTAGAACGGTCCCTGTGGTTTCTAGACGAACTGTTTACAGAGTAGAAAGTCTTTCTCACAAGCATCCCATAACACTGGCCTCAAATCAAAGCCAGACCACAGCGACCCTATAGGACAGCATAGGACTGACCCTATAGGACAGCATAGGACTGTCCCTGTGGGTTTCTGTGACCGTGACTTTCTGGGAGTAGAAAGCCCCTCTCCGTCCCGAGGAGCAGCTGGTGCTTTTGAACTGATGACCTTGCGGTTCTCAGCCCAACCCATTACCAGCCATGAATTCACTAAATCATGGCACTGAGATGCAAAGTGAGCCCAACCGTGTAAAACAAGATCTCTTCGTACCGAGACACGTTTGGCAACTCCACCTCGAATACCAACTTTCATTCTTCAAGATCAGTTTTGCTGGACCGCATAGAGCAGCAAAGGATTCACACTTCTCAGAGGCCCCTTCCCTAGCACCGACCACAAACCTTTGCAAAATGATAATAGCAACACTGTGTAGAACGCATTTTGTAAGTGTTATAAGCAATCATCTAAACCTGTCATTTCCACTATGAGGCTTACTTCAAAGACCAGGGGAAGGAAACTTTGGTCAGTTGACTCCGTGATTCACGTGTTACATCGCCGCATTGGTCTCAAACCTTACCCTTCTGTCTTCAAGTCTCCATCGTCTCTTTTCTCCTCAATGATGCCCTCTGCGAATGCAGCTCGTGCAGGGGAAAATCCACTGCCATTCAAATACTTCGGTTGTACAACAATAGTTTAATATGCTAGGAAGAAAGTCAATCCCTGAGTAATTGAAATCAACTATATGGACTGTTTCATCATAACGTTAACCCCAAAACTTTGCCATGGGTATAAGATCCAGAACAATAGATACCTTTTTAAAAAAAATCACTGTCCTCATGGGAAATTACAGCTTTCAAGAAGAGTGAAGAGAAAGGTTGAGGGGACCGTCGTGAGATGATCACCCGGCATCCACAATGGGATTTATTTGTCATGACCCATGTACAATTCTGCTGGGCATGATGGAACAATGGAATGTTTCGACATCTGTACTAATCCCAAATTAAATAATAAATAAATGCTTTGCGAAACATTGACCCTTAAGATGAAACGAATACCAGAGTACCCTAATGGCTGAGGGACGTTTGCCCCTCGTGATGTTATGACGTCATCTTTTTTTGCAAAGGAAAGAATTTTCTGGTTTCTAGAGAGAACATTAAAACTCAGAAAGAAGGGGTTCAGTTTTTTTGTGTGTGTTTTTTTTAAAACTCTTTGAGAATATTTAAAAAGCCGAATTTTAGAAGGAGAGCCTGTGAGAATTCCACAAATATTTGTAACATGAAAGAATAGAGACAAGCCAGCCTCTCCTTATTTATAAACAATACGTTCTTTCATATCATTGTTGAATCTAAAGTACATAATTTTCAGTTATGCATAATAAAATATGTAATTAAGCAACATTCCATGGTGGATTAAAGAATTAAAAACTTCAGGTGCAGAAAAGAATTTGTTGGCATTTTCTTCTTCAAGGTGGTATTTTGAGGTGTTACTTTTCATTTTCCTTTGACATCTTATACACAAATAAATAGACAGAAACGGGTGAGAGGCAAAGAAAATGAAGAATTGGCTCTACTACAATAGGCCTGAGAAACATAACAAGATGGAATA